CCCACTGCATAGCTGCACAGGGGAATGTGAAGCACATGCAAACACAGCTAGTCTTGTTCATTTCTATCCCTTAACCTACTTCTAGCATATAACAAAGCAAAGGACAGCTCTATCTCATATAACCGAGCAGGAGCAATTAAAAAAGATTACTTACCCCCTCTCTGCATCATACACATCAGAGACAGAGTGCTGGGACTGGCTTGAACCCTCCTTGCTTGAGAAAAGCAACAGAGGGTCCTGTGGCACCTTTAAGACTAACAGAAGTATTGGGAGCATAAGCTTTCGTGGGTAAGAGCCTCACTTCTTCAGATGCAAGTAATGGAAATTTCCAGAGGCAGGTATAAATCAATTTCCAGAGGCAGGTATAAATCAATTTATACCTGCCTCTGGAAATTTCCATTTCTTGCATCTGAAGAAGTGAGGTTCTTACCCACGAAAGCTTATGCTCCCAATACTTCTGTTAGTCTTAAAGGTGCCACAGGACCCTCTGTTGCTTTTTACAGATTCAGACTAACACGGCTACCCCTCTGATACTTGGTTGAGAAGAGGTCCTGGCTTGCCATGGTACTAGATGACCCTGTTGCCTGTCCCATTTTGTCCTCCAACATAACCTCCTTGTCCACCACTTTGTCCTCGGGGTTGAGTCTGCTCTCTCCCCTCCCCTCCTGAAGTATCCACGGGGCTCTTCGCGATGGAAGTGGGATCGCCGCTGAGGATGGCATCCAGCTCCTTATAGAAGCAGCAGGTCTTCAGCACAGCACCAGACCAACAGTTTGACTCTTTCGCCTTCTGGTATGCCTACCTATTCTCCTTTATCTTCACACGACACTGATGCATGTCCCATTTGTAGCCCTTATCCAACATGCCATGAGAACTCTGCCCATAAGTATCGAAGTTCCTACTGGGGTGGCGCTGGGACCAGGGCCGGCTCCAGGCACCAAGCAACCAAGCACGTGCTTGGGGTGGCACCTGGTAAGGGGCGGCCAATCTTGGGGTGGCGGGGGGCAGCGCGGCGTGGTGCTTGGCAGGGGTTCCGGCAGCGCGGCGCTCGGCGGGGGGTGTTTGGCGGCGTGGTGCTCCGCGGGGGGCGGGGGGGGGGGGGGGGGGGGGGGGGGGCGGGGGGGGGGGGGGGGGGGCTTCAGCAGTGCAGTGCAGCGCTCCGCGGGGGGCAGAGGTGTTCGGCGGCGTGGCGTTCGCAGGGCCGGCTTTAAGCCGATTCAGCCGATTTGGCTGAATTGGGCCCCGCGCTAAGAGGGCCCCGCGCTGCAGCTCTCCACCCCGCCCTCAGCTCACTTCCCCCTCCTCCCCTCCCCTGAACGCTCAGAGATTCGCGGGAAGTCTGAAAAGAAGCAGGGGCGGGCAGGCAGCACCAGGTAAGCTGGGGTGGCGGGGGGCGCGAGAAGGGCTCCGGGGAGGAGCGGCCCAGTCCGGCCCTGGTTCTGGCCGAGCACGCAGGCCCCAGCGGCTCTGGCCCGGCTTGGCTCCAGCCCGGCCCCTGCGGCTCGGGTTGGCTCCGGCCCGGCCCCCGCGGCGCGGCTCCGGCCCGGCCCCCGCTGTAGGGCAAACGGGAATGAATTCAGGGACGGTCTGTGGCCTGTG